TTCCAGAGAGGATGCAGAGTTAATACATCTTATGTTTTATAATAAGTAATGTGATGAAAGGGAATGAAACAGATATTTTACGTATATAAACTATATATATATAAATATATAAATACATATATATAATTACTGTGAGTTTTGCTTCGTTGTGTTGTTATCAATATGTTTGCAACTGGTCCCATGGTCATAGATGGTATTTATAGCTACCTTCTTCCATTACCCATTCCATAATCTCTTTGCCCTCATCAAGCACCTCAGCTGGTTGTGTTCTTTGGGAGTGTAGTGTACCTCCTCATGGCCCACACTTTGTGCCTCACTTTTCTGGGTCTGCTGGGACTTGAGTCTAGTTATAGGTCTAGAAGCAGACACAGGTAGTAGGGGTGGGTCCTAAGGACAATAAGCAGTGTCTTTCAAGGCATCTGCTTCAAGGGAGGTCATTACAGTTTCCTTAGGCAAAATTGAATTAATCTCCTCAAATGGGGGCAAAAAGGCTGATTCTACTGGCAAAGATGACTCAAAAGAATTTAGGGGCTCAACGTCCCCAGCTTCATCAGTATCTGCCCATATGTCCCCATTCCAGTTTTCAGAATCCCATTTCTTCCCAATCAATGCTCTCACTTTAACCTCAGACATCATGAAAGGTTGGGAATTCAATTGAAATTGTAATTCAGCCACTCATAGGTTGAGACTCTGGGTTTGGTTTTCAAAAATCTCATCTCTGTGGCTACAAGAGATAAGATTTTCTTTCAGGCCACACATAGCAACTTTCAGGTCCTTTATGAGGCTCATAAACTGGGATGAGCACTGAGCTCATTCTTTTCTCTCTCCAGTTTGTCCATTGAAAGAAGGAGCAACCAACCAATGTCATTATACTCATCAGTTTGACAAAAATGTTCTAATGTATCAAATACATCTTAAGTATTTTATTAGGAGCATCCAATGGTGATATTTTGTATATCTCTATTGCCACATTACAGCACGAATGACCAATGCCTTCTTTACTACTAGAAATAGAGTCATTCATGCCTTTAAATCTAACCAGATTTGAGGACCAATTCCAGTAAAAGGAGATAGTATTTAAATGAGGCTATTGCAGATTGTGATAAGCACTGCTGAAGAAACAAAAACACGGTGATGGCAAGTGATCAGCATAGGGATAGGAGGACTCCTTGGGGCACACAGGGAGAGACTGGACACACAGAGACCAGGGAGGACGCTGGTGCACCATCCACACCTGTGTGATTGAAGCTTAGGCCGGGAGAGTAGGAAAGTCCAGGTGGTGGGAGGAAGGGAGGAACTAGGGGGAGATTTCAAAGGCAGACTGGCTAGCACTTGGAGAAAGATTACATTTCGGGACTTAAGAAGAGGTACAACTGCCTGCCTTTCAGTGTGTTTTTACTGTGGTGATGTCTTAGTTATCTAGTGCTACTATAACAGAAATACCACAAGTGGATGGCTTTAACAAAGAGAAATTTATTCTCTCACAGTCTAGGAGGTTAGAAGTCCAAATTCAGGGTGCCAGCTCCAGGGAAAGGTTTTCTCTCTCTGTCGGCTCTAGGGGAAGGTCCTTGTCATCAATCTTCCCCAGTCGAGGAGCTTCTCAGTGCAGGGACCCCTGATCCAAAAGATGCACTATTCTTCTGGCTCTTCTTTCTTGGTGGTATGAGGTCCCCCTGTCTCTTTGTACCCTTCTCTCTTTTATATCTCAAAAGAGACTGACTAAAGACACAACCTAATCTTGTAGATTGCGTCCTACCTATTAACATAACTGCCTCTGATCCTGCCTCATTAACATCATAGAGGTAGGAATTACAACACATACGAAAATCACATCAGATCACAAAACAGTGGGCAACCACACAATACTGGGAAATTGGGAATCATGGCCTAACCAACTTGACACATATTTGGGGGGGGACACAATTCAAGCCATGAAAGGTGGCTTGCATGTTGCTGTGATGCTGGAAGGTATGCCACTGGTGTTTCAAATACTAGTAGGGTCACCCATGGTGGACAGATTTCAGCAGAGCTTTCAGACTAAGAAAAGCTAGAAAAGTCTGACAATCTACTTCGGAAAATTAGCCTGAAACCCTATGCATCACAGCAGATTTTTGTCCAATATAGTGCTGGAATGTAAGCCTCCTAGGTTGGAAGTTGCTCAAAATACACAGAGGACACAACAATGGACTCAATAACACTGATGATTATGGGGATGGGGCAAAACTATGTTTCATTCCATTGTACATGGGGTCATCATGAGTCAGAGCCAACTCAACAGCAACTAACAACAAAATTCAAAATTTTGGTCAAGTTGTGCTGACTTCCTCTATATAGTGTGTTGTAACAGATAATATCTTGATGCTATTTTGAAGGCCATGAAGCCATTCATGTCTAAAGCTTCCCCCTCGGAATTTTCTAGCAACAAGAACCAATTAATTTTGCATTCTCTTCAAGCCAGCTTGAGTTGAATTTCTGCTGCTGGCAATTACTGGGGTTTGGAAAGTTCAAGAGCTCCGTGAATAATCCAGAGCCTGACGGTGAAGTTGGTCCCAGCTGTGAACACCCAATAATATCTGTATGTACACCAATATTCACTGCAGCACTATTCACACAAGCCAAAAGGTGGAAACAACCCAAGTGTCCATCTACAGATGAATGGATGAACACAATGTGGTCTATACATGAACTGGTAAACTACTCTACCATAAAGAGAAATGACGTTCTGATGCATGCCACTACATGGATGAACCTGGAAAACATGATGCTGAGGGAAACCAGCCAATCACAAAGGACAAATATTACATGATCTCACTAATATTAAATACCTAGAGTAGGCAAATGTATAGAGATGAGTTTAATAAAGATTGGTTGCAAGAGGTGGGAGGGATGCAGAAAAGGACAAATCATTGTTTAGGTAGCACTGAGTTTTTTTATGGGGATGGAAAATTTGGCAATGGATATTGGTGATGGTTGCATAACGTGATTGATGTAATTGGTCTCACTAAATCGTATACATGAAAAATGTTGAAATGGCAAGAGGTAGGAGACAAAGATGCCTTCCTGGATAAGCCCAACTGGTTGTGGCAGAATAGAGTTGACTATTAGGAACTCTATTGGTAGCGACAGTTGCAGCTGCTGTGACAGAAGTGGTATTTTTACAGTCGTTGTGTGCCATTGAGTCGATTCCGACTCATAGCGACCCTATGGACAGAGTGGCCCCATAGTATTTCCAAGGACCGGCTGGTGGAGTCAAACCGCCGACTTTTTGGTTAACAGCCTGAGCTCTTAACCACTTCACCATCTTTACTAGAACCGATTAATTCAGCCTCTGATAACACAGAATGTGGCTATGGATCTGGTGAATGTATTCTTTACACACTCATCAAGAAGGAGGATTAGAAGCAGTTCACATTCACCTCTGGTGGATGACAGGCTACACAGACAGGCACACACGCAGAAATATATACATGCCTAACTGATGAAATCTGAATAAGCTCTGTGGATTGCACCAATATCAAATCCCTGCTCTTGATATTGTATTATTGTTATGCAAAATATTAAAAATTGGGAAGGCTGGGTGACTTGTGAACAGGACCTCTCGGTACATTTCTTTACAACTCCCTGTGACTCTAGAGTTATTTCAAAATAAAAAGTCACTCCTTCTTAAAAGCTTGTGAGTGGTCATCTAAGATACAGCTATTGGTCTCTACTCGCCTGGAGCAAAAGAGAAAGAAGGAAACCAAACACAAAAGAAATTAGTTTACAGGACAAATAGTCTACACAAACCACAGCCTTATCTACCCTGAGACCAGAAGAACTAGATGGTGCCCAGCTACCACTGCCAACCATTCTAATCAGGGCCACGATAGATGGACCCTGACAGAATGGAAGAAAAATGTGGAACAGAACCTCAAATCCCTAAATATAAAACAAAACCATACCTACTGGACTAGTTGACACTGGAAGACGCCCAGAGATTATTGCCCTGAGATACTCTTCAAACCTTGAACCGAAACTAACCCCTGAGGTCACCTGGAAGCTAAATAACAAATTGGCCCAAAAAATAATGAATATCACCCATAAATACTGTGATCCTTTAAAAAATCACCTATATGAGACCACAGAGTCAACAATTACTTTAAAACAAAGATGAGAATGTAAGGGGGCCAAGAAACTAGATGAATGGAAACAGAATAATCAGAACAGAAATAACGTGAAAGTTCATGCATTGCCAAGAATGTAATCGACGTCACTGAACAACTTGTGTAGAAATTGTTGAATGGGAACCTAAACTGCTGTGTAAACCTTCACCAAAACACAATAAAATATTATTTAAAGGGAAAAAAAGGCACTCCTTAAATATAAGGGACAGATTAAAATTAACATTTTCAAATAACAACTTTATGAGATACCATAGAATACACAATTCATTCATTTAAATGTGCACAATTCAATGGTTTTTAGTATGTTCACAGAGTTCTGCAACCATCACCACAACCAATTTTAGAACATTTTTGTCACCCCAAAAAGAAAACTTCTACCCATTAGGTCTCATCTCCAATCCCCACATTCCTCAGGCCTAAGCAACCACTGATCTACTTTCTGTCTCTACAGATTTACGTATTCTGGACAGTTTCTATAAATGGAACCATACAATGTGTAGCCTTTGGCAACTGTCTTCTTTCACATAGTGTAATGTTTCCAAAGTTCATCCATGTAGCATTATCACTACTTCATTCTTTTTTATGGCTGAATAATATTCCACTGTATGGATAGACCACACTTAGTTTATCTATTCATCAGTTGATGGACATTTGGGTTGTTTCCACTTTTCGGCTATTATGAATAGTACTGCTATGAATATTCATGAAAAGCGTTTGTCTGAGTGGTGTACAATTTTAGTACACTTTTTTTACAGTTAAACTTTATACCAATTTCATTGATATATATTCCTAAATAGTTGAGTTTCAAATGTATTATTATTAGAGTTATCTTTTTTATTTTTAAATACATAGTATGTCACAGGTTGGGTTCCCCAGTGTTACGGATTGAATTGTGCCCCCCTAAACCTACATTGAAGACCTAACCCCTAAACCATTGCATCACCAGAGCTTGATTCCGTAGGTGTAGGGGTTAGGATTCCTGCAAATATTTGGGCGGGGCACAATTCAGTCCATAACAGAAGCATCACATTAATTACATCCTGACTCCTTACAACAGCCCCGAGACTTAGGTACGTCATGCCCATTTGACAGAGGAGGAAACTGAGCAGTGAGGTGACTTGTTCAAACTCCTGGTCTTAGTTGGTGATGAGGCTGAGAGCTGAGACCAGTTCTGCCGGTCCCCATACTGTGAAACTCCCATGTTATTCTCGTCAGGTGCCATCAAGTCCATTCCGACTCATGGCGACCCTATAGGACACGGGAGTACAACTGGCCCATGGAGTTTCCAAAGCTGTAATCTTTACAGAAGCAGACTGCCACATCTTTCTCCCCCAGAGTGGCTGGTGAGTTTGAACCCCGAATTTGATTAACAGCAGAGGGCTTAACTGTTGTGCCGCACCCATAGAGTAGTTATATCCTGTTCACGTAGAGAGCTGTTGACTCAGGAATCCCCATCAAGTGTCCCTTTCCAGGGAAGCCCTGGGCCCTCCAGCCAGACCTGAGCTCTGGGCGAGTCCTCACTGGTAGATCTTGATCTCCGAGTACTCGGTGGTGCTGGTGGCCTCCTGGTCCTGAGGCTCCTGGGGCCTCAGCCCATGGAAAATGAGGGAGGCGTAATGGAGTTCCTGCTCTTCTCCCAGTGTAGGGGTGGTCATAGCCCGGGGTGGGATGTCTGGGTTATCACTCGGTTGGGACTCCTGCTGGTGATCCTGAGTGGAGGGGGAGAAGGGGATCAAAGTAGGATAATGGGGGCCGGGAGAAGAAGGCAGGCTCCACAAGTGAACTTGAAAACTGAGCATTTGGTCTTTGATCCATTCATTGCACAAACATTTGCCAGACCCTTATTCATGCAACAAACTTTTAAGAGTAATAATACCTGGTTAAGAAGGCCTGGTGGTGCAACTGTTAAGTGTTTGGCTGCTAACCCAAATGCTGGTGGTTAGAACCCACCCAGTGACTCCAGGGGAGCAAGATGTGGCTATCTGTTTCCATTAAGATTACATCTTAGGAAACCTACGGGGCAGTTCTACTCTAGGAGTCACTAGGAGTGAGAATCGACTCAACTGCACTCAACAACAACAATGCCTGGCCCTCGCTGACCGATTACCAGTCCATAAAATCCTCCCAAAACCCACTGGGGAGGTACTGTTGTTGTTAGTTGCGGGGGAGTATTGACCCCATGTATGCAGAGTAGAACTGCTCCATAGGGTTTCCAAGGCTGGGACCTTTTGGAAGCAAATTGCCAGGCCTATCTGCCAAGGCACCTCTGGGTAGGTTCAAAGTGCCAACCTTTCAGCTAGTAGTCAAACATTTAACCATTTGTGCCCGTCAGGAACACCTGGAAAGATTCTATTGTCCACATTTGTCAGATGGAGAAGCTGAGGCTGAGAGAGGCTAAGTAAATATCCCAAAATCACACATTGAACTAGTGGTGAGGCCTGGATTCATGACCAGGGCTCTCTAACTCCAGCGCCCACTGTCTTAATGAACAGTTCCCCTGTGCCAGGCCCTGGGTATTCAGGGGGGAACTAAGCAGACACCATACCTGACCTCGCACAGCTTCCAGTGTGGTAAGCGAAGCAGACATGAAGCCAGTAGCCAATGAAATTACTATCTAATTGCAAATTGTGGTTGGAAGCACAAGAATGGAGTGATGTGATGAGGACAGGGATTTGCTCAGATGTGGACACTGCCCTAAGGAGCCCTGGTGACACAGTGATTGTTTGGCTGCTAACCGAAAGGTTGGCTGTTCAAAAACACCAGGCTCTCATAGGAGAAAAGACCTGCCAATCTGCTCCCATAAAGGTTACAGCCTTGAAACCCTACCGGGCAGTTTTATCTGTCACATGGGGTCGCTATGGTTGGGAATTAACTCAACCGCAATGGGTTTTGGCTTTTCGGGACCCTGCCCTCAGGGAGCTCTCGGTATCTCACAGGTTCAGGCACGTGGACGCAATTGTGAAATTGTGTTACAAAAAAAAACAAACCCATTGTTGTCAAGGCAATTCTGACTCATAACAAGCCCATGTGACAGAGTAGAACGGCCCCATATGGTTTCCTGAGCTGTAATCTTTACCACAGCAGATTGGCAGGTCTTTTCGTCTGCAGAGCCACTGGGTGGATGTGAACTGCCAACCTTTTGGTTAAGAGCCGATCCCTGAACCATTCCACCACCGGGGCCCTTGTTGTTTTCGTAGGTGCTGTTGAGTCGGCTCCAACATACAGCTAGCTGGCTGAAGTATCGAGGCGTGTCTGTGGCTGGGACACAGTGTGGAGGCACGGTGGGTGGGAGACAGAGAGAGGGGAAGTTGAGACACCTCTACAGTCAGATCCTGTCAGGCCTTGATGGGAATTAAGGAGTTGATTCTCTAGGCAATAGGAGGACCCTGAGGCATGTAAGCTCAGTGGCAAGTGGGTGTGCAGTAAAGAATTGGTGTCAGAAGTGAGGGTGGTCTTGGGTCCCCCAAATTTGTCGATGGTATCAAAAGGGAGGGTGATTTATGCTTATCCCAAATTTGCAGTTGGTATCAGAAGTGAGGATGGTCTTGGGGTCCCCCAAATTTGCAGTTCGTACCAGAAGTGGGAGTGTCCTTGGTCCCCCAAATTGGGAATTGGTATCAAAAGTGAGAGTTGTCTTGGGGACTTTTAAACTTTGTAGTTAACAATAATTATTCTGGGTGAATCCCTCTGGCTTTTTGTCTTGGGGAAGCAGGGAGAAAGTAGGCCAGGTGTCCATACAGAAATGAGGAGGTGGGGACAGGAAGGGCCCAGCTGGAGCTCAACAGGCCTTGGTGATCCTCCAGCTCTGGGAGACAAGACAGAAGGCAGAAGGAGGTGACTCCTGGGTCACAGGACTGGGTGACCGGGTTGATGGGGACCCAGGAGAAAAAGCTTATTGGGGCAAGATGATAACCTAAGTCGTCAGAGGAGCCTGGTGACGGTCTTCCCGAGAAGGTAACCAGATGGGATGTCAATGGACAGAGGACTCACCACTCACCCACGGGATGGTACCCAAGACAGAGGGGGCATCCGATCTTCCAGCTGCTGTCTTGATTGCCTTCCTCTTTAAGGTCTTCACCCTGAGGGAGGAGCCCAGGACCTTCAGGAAACTGGCTCAGGGCTTGGGGTAGGACTCCTGCCCCCTGCTTCAGAGACCAGAAGGTCTAACACAGGCGGGGAAGGGCGTGGGCACCATGTCTAGCCTGATGACTTTTATTAAAAGAACATGAGCCCCTTTCTGGAAGGCTGGGCTCAGGGATGGGAACTTACCCCTGCTCTGAATCTCTTCCCAGTTGCCATCAAGTCGATTCCAACTCACAGTGACCCCATGTGAGTCAAAGTAGAACTGTGCTCCATTGGATTTTCAGTGGCTGATTTTTTTCAGAAATAGATGGCCAGGCCTTTCTTCCCAGGACCTTTGTGTGGATTTGAACCACCAACCCTACAGTTAGTAGCTGAGCAGTTAGCCATTTGCACCACCCACAGACTGTATGAATCTCTGGCAGGGCTTAATTTTTTTGGAGTTCCTAGGTGCCATAAACAGTTATGACCTCACCTACTAACCAAAAATTAGCTGTTCAGACCCACCCGGAGGTGCCTCAGAAGAAAGTCTTGGCCATCTACTTCCAGAAAATCAGCCACTGAAAACCCCACGGAGCACAGTTCTACTCTGTTACAGATGGAGCCACCAAGAGTTGGAATCGACTCAACGGCAACTAGTTTGGTTTTCGATTTTTGGTTCTCAAGTCCCTAGGTCCCTGGGTGGCACAAATAGTTTGCACTTGGCTACTAACAGAAAGTTTGGCCGTTAAATCCACCCAAACATACGGTGGAAAAAAGACCTGGCCATCTACTTCCAAAAAATCACCCATTGAAAACCCTATGGAGCACAGCTCTCCTCTAACACACATGGGGTCACCAGGAGTTGGAATCAAGTCAACGGCAAGTGGTTTTCTGAATCTTTGGCCCAAGACCCAATTCTCACAGCAACCACTGCCCCATTCAGATTCCTCCATCTGGGACTCTCAGGGACTCCAGTGCCTGCACCCCCTCCTACCCCAAGGGAGGACACTCACATGAGGAAGATGAGGCCAGGACAGAGGAAGAACAGGGCAGCGAGACCAGCTCCCACGAAGGCCGCCTGAGCAAATTCTATCCCACAGTTGGATTTCTCTGCTGACGAGCCAGATTTAGGACGTATAGGGTTGCTAAGAGTCAAAATCGACTCAATGGCAGCGGGTACGGTTCTGTTCCCTCTGAGCCCCAGGACCCTCAAGCCCCCTCCTCCCACAGAATGTGAGCTCTCCTTCTCGTCAGCCCCCAGCTCTCCAACCCCATACACACCCTTTCCCTCCAGCCCCAGCCCTTCTGCCCCAAGTTCTTCAAGAATCAACACTCTTTCCCCCGCAAGCCTCAGTCCCAGCCAGCCCCTCGACCTGGCAGCAGCAGGACAGTGACACGGTGGGTGCTACCCAGTCACCTCCCAGGGTGAAGGCAGCTTCCCGGGACCCCCTTTCCTCCCAGGGACTCTCCTGAGCTCTGGTCTGCTGGTTGCCATGGTGATTTCGCACCTCCCTGTGCACCTGGCCTATCCCCATCCCCAGAGTCCTGCCCCTAAACTCACCGGCCACACTTAGTCGGATGGTCCTCATGGTGCTCACGCCATTTCTGGAGAAGTTCACTCGACAGGTGAGCTCGGTGTCATTGTCCTGGGGTCTCGGTGTCAGAGTGAGCGCCGAGAAAACGGAGGCTCGTGGTTCAGCTCCTTGGGGGGAGACGGCCACCCCCGTCCAGGAAAACTTAGGGGCTGGACAGCCCTCAAAGTCCCCAGGAAACACACAGAGCAGTGTCACTGGGCGCCCTGGCTCCAGGGTCTCCGGGACGTAGACATCAGGCTTCTGTGTCAGGCCTGGGGCAGAGAGAGGGAGATCCTAGCCCCAGTCCATGGCCCCTCTGTCACAGTGACTCCCCAGCCCATCCCAGCTTGAGCCAGCTCCATACCTGTCACTTCCAGGGCCAGCGTGTATTTCTTAAAACTAAATTTCACTGTATTTCCTCTCTCCACCCGAAAGAAGTACGTGGCTGTGTCCCTCCTCTGTGCGTCTCTGATCACCAGCGAGCAGCTCCTGTTCCAGGGTTCCCCGAGGAGCTGGAATCGATCTCTGGTCTGAGAGTCTACTTTCCTGTATGGGTTGTTTGTGGCCACTGGAGCAACCTGTTCATGATTGAAGTTATAGGCCTGTTCCTGGAACCAGTAGCCAAGAACTGGGTCAGAGTCCTTCCAGCCATCTGGGGGGTAGGAGAAGATGCAGGGTATGAAGACACACAGGCCCTCCTGCACCGTCACAGACTTTTGCACCTGCAGCTGGTATCCGTCAACCAGATCCCTGTACCATCGGGGAGACCGAGGATTAGTGGAAGCCCCAGCCCCTGCCTGGGACCCCTGGCTGCCAACACACTCGATCCCCCACAACAGTGACAGCAGTAGCAGCAGCAGCAGTGGCATCTCTGCAGTTGGAGGAGCTGGACCTGACACCCTCTGGCTTCTGGGTTGGTCTGTCTCTCCGGGAAGGAAGCTCTGACAGGAAGCCCCAGGCAGGGAGGGGCAGGGACTGTTCTCAGAGGAGGAAACTGGGAGGTTCCTGGGAGATTGCCTGCTTCTTCCTACTTCTCCTTCCTCAGATGGAAGCAACAGGGCAGAGAGGTGCAGACCTTGCCCAAGACCAGCAGGGTGCCCCTGGGCCAGGCCCTCTGGGAGGGTAGCCCCAGGAGTGGGGCACTCATGGGAAATAGGTGATGTCTTAGTTTCCTGAAAGTCCCTGGGTGGCACGAATGGTTTGCACTTGACTACTAACCTAAAGGTTGCCGGTTCAAACCCACCCAGCAATGCCACATAAGAAAGGCCTGGTAATCTGCTTCCATAAGATTACAGCCAAGAAAACCCCATGGAGGACAGTTCTACTCTGACACACGTGGGGTTGTCATGAGTTGGAAGTGACTTGATGGTAGTGGGTTTGGTTTTTTGTTTTTGCCGTAACAAAGTACCACGAAGTGGGTGGCATTAAACAACAGAAATTAATTGTCTCTCAGGTCTGCAGACTACAAGTTTGAAATCAACGGCCATGTTCTCTCTGCAGCCTCTAGGGGAGGATCCCTCCTGGCCTCTTCCAGCTTCTGGTGATTCCCGGCGATCTTTGGCATTTCTTGGCTTGTAGATGCATCACTCCAATCTCTCCCTTGGTCTGCACGTGTCCGTCTTCCCTCTGCATCTGTCTGTGTCTTCTCCTCTTCCTGTAAGGACACCAGTCATATTGGATTAGGACCCAGCCTACTCCAGTATGACCTGCATTTTCCCCCTTTAGATTAGGAGGCTTCTCTATCCATGGGGTTTTCAGTGGCTTTGATCTTTTGGAAGCAGATTGTCAGGCCTTTATTCCGAGGCACCTCTGTGTGGAGGTGAACTGCCAACCTTTCCGTGAGGAGACCAGCACTTAACTGTTCGTGCCACCCAGAGACCCTGACACAGTCCAATTCCCTACTCAGTCTGTGCTGCACCGAGTCACTCTTCCCCTAACTTGGGAGGAGACATTACCCCCCTCCCTGGACCTGCTGACACCAAGGATTAGTGCTCAGCATTCTTGGTGCGCCCCCTGGTGGACCTGCAGGGTCTGTGTTCAATGGACCCAGCTCTTGTCTACAGACAAGAGTAGAACTGCCCTGTAGGGGTTTCTAGGCTGTAATCTCTACAGAAGCAGATCACCAGGTCTTTTTCCCGCAGAGCCACTAACAAAAAAAAACCAAACCCGTTGCCGCTGCGTCAATTCCGACTCACAGTGGCCCTATAGGACAGAGTAGAATGGCTTATACAATTTTCAAGGAGAACCTGGTGGATTTGAACTGCCCGCCTTTTGCTTAGCAGCCAAGCTCTTAACCCCTGAGCCACAGGGTGAGTTCAAACCACCAATCTTTTGGTTAGCAGCCCAAAGATTAACCATCGTGCCACCAGGGCTCTTTCTTAGTTACCTAGTGCTGTTATAATAGAAATACCAGAAGAGGGTGGCTTTAACAAACATAGACTTATTTTCTCATAGTTCAGGAGGCTAAAAGTCTGAATTTAGGGAATTTAGCCTAGGGAAAGGCTCTCTCTGTGGGGTCTGGAAGAAGGTCCTTATTTATTTTCAGATTCTGTTCCTCAGTAATTTGGTGATCTCCATGTGGCATCTATCTTCCCCTGCCGTGCTTCTTGCTTCTCTGCCTAATCCACTCTTTTTATATCTCAAAAGTGATTAGGTTTAAGACACAACCTACGCTGATGTGGCCTCATTAACATAACAAAGAAAGCCTTGTTCCCAAATGGGATTACATCCATAGGTATAACCAAAACCAAATCCATTGCCATCAAGTCAATTCCAACTCCTAGTGACCATAAAGGACAGAGTAGAACTGCCCCATAGGGTTTCCAAGGCTGTAATCTTTACGGAAGCAGACTGCCACATCATTCTCCTTGGCTGGTGGATTCAAACTGCTGACCTTTGGTTAGCAGGTGAGCGCTTTAACCACTGTGCAACCAGGGCTCCTTAGCCACAGGTATTGGGGTTAAGATTTACAACACATATTTTCGGGAGACACAAGATTCAGTCCATAACAAGCCTGACATGGAGGAGGAGCTTGATAAATATCAAATGAATGGATGAACAAAAGAGACCAGGAACCTTCCCCAAGAGGCTCACACTGGGCAGAGCCTTCTAGACAACACTGAGGGGATCTCATATCTGGCACTTCCTGTGAGCTCTGCACACGTGGCCTCATGGGTCCCCCCAGCCACCCTGGGACAGGCCCAGGAGCCTCAAACCCGGGTCTAAGTGACCCCAGGTTCTCGCTTCTCTGCCTCACTTTTCTCTCTCCCACTCCTTCAGGTTAGACCATGTGCAGTAAAGGGTTAACTCAACAGACTAGGGGTGTTCAAATCCTGCACATTCCAAAGAAAGGACTAGCCCTTGTCCAGCTCCTGGGAGCTAACCTCTGAACCCTTGGAATAGCCTGCCTAAGAAAACCAGTTGCCATCGAGCCAACTTAGATTCAAGACAACCCCATGTGCGTCAGAGCAGAACTGTGCTCCATAGGGTTTTCTTTTCTTTTTTTTTATTTTGTTGTTGTTGAGAATATACACAGGAAAACATACAGCAATTCAACTTCTCTACATGTACAATTCAGAGCATGAGTGTTATTGGGTGCCATTCAGTCGATCCCACTCATACCGACCCCAAGCGACAGAGTAGAACTGCCCCATAGGGTTTCCTAGGCTGTAATCTTTATGGGAGCAGATTGCCAGGTCTTCTCCAGAGGAGCCGCTGGTGGGTTCAAACCTTTCTGTTAGCAGCCAAGTGCTTAACCATTTCACCATCAGGGTGAACGGAAAACAAAGGGACAGATGAGACAGCCCATGTGTTTGGATGGTTGAGGATGTGAGTGTATGGCTGAGAGACAGACAGATGGAGTCAGGAGGATGTGGATGTGTCAGTGAGTGGAGTGTCTGAGCCGCTTCTCCTCCCTCCCCAGGGCCCTCCCACCACAGCGACCTCCAAACCCTGCTCAAGTGGCTCTATGGTGCCGTGGACAAACTGCCTCCCAAACACCAACAACATCATGAAGCTGAAGGAGAGATGAGTCTGGGGTCTGGCTGTGGGGTGGAAGCTCAGACCCCAACAGGAAGGAGGGGACGGCGGCCCTCGGACCTGCCCTCTGCTGTTCAGCCCAGTGGACGAGGCTGTGGGCCCCGAAGCCACACTGCCTGAGCTCAGCTTCCAGCCCAGAGGGTCCTTGATCCTGGCATGGTGGTGCCCTCCTCTGTGAGACGGGGTCCTGTCAGCTCCCACCTCCTGGGGATGTGGGAGGATCCAGGGAGGCAGGTACACCCGGCACTTAGCACAGAGTCTGTCCAGAGGAAGTGCTCAGCGCACTCAGGAGGCCGGGACTAATTGGGTCTCAGGTGAGAGGACTAGAGCAGGTCAGGCCGGTCCCTGACTCAGCCAGTGCTACCAACCAGTCAGTGTCCATGCTTCACACAGGGTCACTGCTGGGTTCTTAGTTATCTAGTGCTGCTGTAACAGAAATGCCACATGTGGGTGGCTTTAACAAAACAGAAATTTATTTTCTCCCGGTTTGAGAGGCTAGACGTCTGAATTCAAGGCGCTGGCTCTAGGGGAAGGATTTCTCTCTCTGTGGGCTCTGGAGGAAGGTCCTTGTTTCTTCTGAGCTTCTGCTTCTGGGCGATCTTCATGTGCCTTGGCATCTATCTTCCCCCATCTCTGCTACTCCCTTGCTTGTTTAATTTCTTATATCTCAAAAGAGATGGACTCAAGACACACTCTATACTAATCCTGTCTCATTAACATAACAAAGACAGCCCATTCCCAAATGGGATTTTAACCACAAGCATAGAGGTTAAGATTTACAACACTTATTTTGAGGGGACGCAATTCAAACCATAACAGTTCTCTAGAGGAGCAAAACCAGTGCAATGTATATACAGGTAGTTCCCGACTTATGACGAGGATCCGTTCAAAGGACTCTGTGATAAATCGGTTCCGACATAAATCAAATACCTCATTTTTTTTTAATTAGTATTGCCTTTTATTATCAGTTATTTTTCATTATTATTACCTTTGTAACTCTGATCTGTATTTGTCTTTGGGGGTTGGATACATTACATATAAACTTACAAATATATTTTAATACATACTTATATACGTACATACATGAAAAAAATACAAATCATTAAAATTTACTCCAACAATGAAGAAGAGGTGTACGACGTTGGCATTTTGTCAGTTGTGGTGATAATCCACTTGTGGGAGGTCCTGGATCACCTGGATTATCCCTGGGAATGGGGATGGTGTTTCTAGTCAGAAAATAAGTGGAAGTTGTCCGTATGGTCCTTTCCTTTTTTTCTTCATATATTTCAAGGTAACTTCTCACTGATGCCCGAATCTGCCTATCAACTTTAGCAAAGCGATCAGTGTTTGGGTCCATGTTTTCTAGCAACCTAAGCCCCTGATTTAGTTTAGAAAATTAAATATATACGGCAATGTTTTGAACAGTAAATCATAAAATTGAACATCTGCACATGAATATCTGAGGATGGTAACATCAGTAAATTACGCGCTGCAACATTGTATGTAGTACGTCTAATGATAAGAAGTAAAAACAACAAAAAACAAATGGTAGTGAGTACAGTTCGTCATAACTCGAACATGTCTTAAGTCGGAGACCACCTGTACAGTAAAACCTGAGAGAGTAGGAACCTGCATAAGGCAGCAACCTGTCAGGTGCCACCAGGTCTCCTGCATGTAACTCACACACACACCCCTCACTGTCCAGTCGATCCCGACTCCTAGCCACCCTCTAGGACAGAGTAGACCTGCCCCCATAGGGTTTCCAAGGCTGTAATCTTTACAGAAGCAGACTGCCACACCTTCTCCCATGAGCAGCTGGTGGGTTCGAACCACTGACCTTTCAGTTAGCAGAGAGTCCTTAACAACT